AAAGAGAAAGGAAGTGTCCAGATAGACTACGTAGTCATGGTGTCTAGGTTGTCCCCAATTGGGGTGCACCTAGTCACCATGGCTCCAGTAGACCCCAATCTATTATTATGTGTCTCTCGGTCTTGTCCCCTCCACTTTACACTCTAGTATAGTCCTGGAGAATGGCATTTTATGTGTCCGAAATACTGTTATTTTATTGTTTTTATCGGTTGTACCAATTCTGGACTTGTGTTTAGAAGGTAGCAAACTTGTTCATAATTTGTTTTTCTCTGCGTCAATCTATATACTCCTACAGTGCGTCCATAAAGTCCTGACACTGCATTGTGACCTATTTTTCTCTCAATTTTAGTGTGTTGGTTTACTATTGTTGTGCTTGGTTAGAATGTGAATACGTCAACTGATGCATACTTGCTGAGTTTTGAAAATATAGAGAGAAAAAAACTAGGCCACAGTGCAATGTCAAGACTTTGTGGACACACTTTGTACTTGCGTAAGGGAAAGGGGGGGGGGGGGACAAGGCAATTTTCGGTTGCCTAAAACTCCAAAACCACCCAACCATATGACTTCAAAATTTACAGGGTAAATTAGCGGAGGTTCAGGAGCGCACGTGGCACATGTATATTTATAACTTTAAATTCTTAGTCTTTCTAATTTTTTTGTTTTTAATTGTTACACGTGTAATGCATTCTTTTTCTCCATTAATTTACATTTTTAAACATGTCCTTTTCCGCTTTAAGCATTGCGAGACTTATCAATTTCTGTTTCAAGAGTGTAGATCTAGCTATCTAGATCTTCTAATTTTTTTGCATCTTTCAAGATTTATTGGTCCATTCAAGTAGAGTGTAATATAGTAGGCCAATGACTTTCAGCATAGCTGACCAGCTCGCGGCCCTGGACTATTACAAGTAATACAAGGCGCTCTAACAGTTTTTCTTCTCTTTTCTTTAACAGCTGTTTAAATTCAGAGAAGCTTTTAAAGTTTGTCCAACAGTAATAGCTAAACTCCTGTCATCTTCCATTGTATCTTCTGGGAAGCAGTGAACCCACTTATTACTTCCTTTAAGAAATTCAACCATGGGTCAGAGGTCACAATCCCACATTTTTGGGGAGCACCTAGCCACCATGACTAGGTAGTCCCCATTTGGGGTCTACCTAGACACTTCCAAAGAGAGAACATGTTATGTTTCTCTCATCCACAAAAACTACGTTCACATAGAACGGGTGATTAATGGAAGCAGAAAACACTGCAAAAAAAAAACCGCATGAATATTAATGTTATTATATGTATTTTATACGCTCGAGCGTTGTGCGCTCCTTAAGTTAAATAGCGCGAGGAATATAATTTTCATAAGACTGGAAAGGTTCCTTTCAGTTCCCTAATTCAATTATTTACTGCTGTTTTGTGTTTGTTGTGTCTTTCTTTCTTAGTTTCGTTGGGGTGGGGGGGGGGGTGTTTTGTTTGTTTCTTTGTATTTTTGCTTCTTTGTTTGTTTGTTTTGTTTTAAAAAAAACTGTCCCAAATCGAGAATCAAACTAACGTCTTTGTCGTCCCTCAGCGAAAAGCATAGCATTTACACCTCAGACTCCGGTAACTTAAAGAGTACACATGCTTATCGTATGTCGCCAAGGCTGGGATTACGTGACCCTGACGATGCTTAGCCTGATACCTCTATGGTCCTATGTCTGACCTCTGACCTCTGACCACACAGGCAGGTCGCTACCTCAGAACTACAAAGTTCTATCTGATCAGTACCTTGTGTTGATCAATTTAAGGTCAAAGATTTTGAGCTCCATTTCATGACACGCAATTTTTTAATTTCTTGATAACGACTCTGAATCATCAAAAGATTTTAATAGAGCAGATAGAACATTTGGTTTCTGACCTTATTGTCTTAGTAACTCAAAACAGCCAAAAATGCCAGAAAGAACTTTGTAATTCTAAGGTAGCGAGATGTGTGAAGCGTGTCAAGTCACGTACGATCTACTTGATGACACATTTACACGCTGAGTCGGTTCGCTGTGTACGGCACAGATCTATCTATCTATCTATCTATCTATCTATCTATCTATCTATCTATCTATCTATCTATCGGCCCATCTGTAGCCAGTGGCAGGACATGGTCGAGACGACTGGAGAAAGGCCAGGATGCAGTGGATGGTCAGCAGTGTCTTTTGTGCCTCACTGTGCCCTATGCTGCGCTTTGCTGGGTCCCGCCATTCCACCCATCGTTGAACCCCGGGGATTTCCTCCGCGCAGTCTGCCGGAGCCAGTCTTTGTGTACTGGGGGTAGACATTCCCCGCCTGGAGCCAGTCTTTGTGTACTGGGGATAGACATTCCCCGCCCAGTCTTTGTGTATTAGGGGTAGACATTCCCCGCCCAGTCTTTGTGTACTGGGGGTAGACATTCCCCGCCCAGTCTTTGTGTACTGGGGGTAGACATTCCCCGCCCAGTCTTTGTGCACTGGGGGTAGACATTCCCCGCCCAGTCTTTGTGCACTA